TAGTTCTCTCAACACTTCTTGACTCCAAATAGAGGTTACTTCTCTTAGATCTGTCAATGGCAATCAGTGAAGTACTTCCAATTACTATGTACAATTTAATAACAGTATTAGCCCAGACAATGTGGACATGACAGATCTCTATTTATATCTGAGATGTAAAAGCACAATGGAGGATTGATGCTCTGTCCTGAGCCCTTCAATATTGGTATGGTTCTCTTAGTATTATCGAAACTCCAAATAAATAAGTATATGTGAGGCATGATAATTAGTTACTTGGTCTGACACAAAATTTGGCTTTTTGATCTTTTCCAATTTTAGCAGATAAGAATTCTTTCTCTATTAGCATGGCATGAAAAATAGTTTCTCTACTAGCATGGCATGAAAAAACACAGCATATGTGCCAGAAGGATTGCAGCTTCAGAAGGCTTCAGGTTGGTCCTTACACTACCTGTTCTATTAGAAATGTCTGAGGACTAAATAGTGGTCTCATGCTGATTACTTATATGAGACTTTCTCTAGTCTCTTCTATAGGTTTCACACTTTCAAATTTATCATGGAGGAACAGAGGTAGTTTTTAAAGGACAATTCATAAATGAATTAAGTACATTTTCCCCAAAGACAAAAATGAAAACTCATATACATTACAATAAAGATGAGGAAAAAAAATTTTCATTATGCACAAAAATTTTCCAGTTTCCTCTGTTTTATTTTTTCTTTTATTATAAAGCTCAATCCACTGTGAAAGTTTCAACTTAAAGCTCTTTATAAAACTAGATAGAAACTAAAACCAAAAGGTCTATAGTATGCAGTAAATCTTACAGTTTGAAAGACTTAAAAACTTTCAGAAAAGTCTTCACATTCAGATCAGCCAAAACAAACAGAGAGGCACATACTAAGACCACATTAGTGCCTGGGTGTTGCCCATTTAATGTGACAGGTTAAAGAGCAAACCAAAACATGTAGCCAGAAAATCTTGTTTGCTATTTTCAAAACAGTCATGACTGAAACAAAAACATTACTTCAGATTTTCAAGTCTAGTCAAGTTGCGAAGAGTCCATTTTATTTTAATCTATTTTAATTGTATAAGCCCTTTTAACTCTCCAGTGTGTCCAAAAAGAATTTAAAACAATATTTATTGTTCATACCTCTGTGAAACTTCAAAATGTAAGTAATCTTATTTTATGATTATAATGTACTAAAGGAGACATTTTTGCGAGTTATTTTTCGAACTAGAAAAATTAATTATATAACTACTTAATAGGAAATTGGCATTATAATAGTCTGTTTTAAAAAATTGACCGATACCAAAGAAAGTGAATCTCAAAAGTAGATTCAAGTCTGGGGGGGGAGGGGGTGTCTCTACTAATTATTTCAAGAGGCTTCATTAAAATTTTAAAACAAAATTGTTTTATTTTTTGTCCTTTTTTTTTTTTTTTTGTCTTTTTTCGTGACCAGCAACGGATCGCAACCCTCAGTGTCGCGCCCGTACCGGACCGGGACCGGCAACGGGATCGCAACCCTCGGTGTTGCACCCGC